GCTTGGCATAGAGTCTGCTTGTCCCTTTCCCTCTGCTCCTGCCCCTGCTTTCTCTCTCTCCCCTCACCAAATAAATAAATAAAGAATCTTTTAAAAACAATATAGCCCTTGGGGCTTGGTGGTGTTGGCTCAGTAGCCACCTTGGGGGATGATGAGTAAGTCAGCCCAGATAAACCCCAGAGGGGGACTTTCCCTCCTCTAGTCCGCCACATCAACACGTCGCTCCACTTCCATCCGGAGTCCATATTGGACTTTCTCCTAAGATTTCATGTGAGGGGAAAAATTGGCTCCATGCTAACGTATAGTTGTGAGAACTGCTGTCCTGACAGATCCAAATTTTCCTGTTAAGACAAAATAGTTGGAACACCAGATACACTCTGCAGCAGCTCATGGTAAAAAGTTGAAGGTATACAGTGGGTTTCCTTACTGTCAGATGTCCGAGTGCCTAGTCGTCCTGAAACACAGAGGGGAGCACTGGAGAACTTATTTCTAAATGTGCTGGTTGGGGTCCTCCCCGTATCCAGAAAATTGCCTTGGAAACTTAATGTGTATTGGAGGAAGAAGGTAAAATCCTTTGTGTTAAAGTGAAACATAGTTTTCATACTTGCTGATGATACTCAAAAAAACACTGATTTTACTGTTCATGTTATAATGATGGGGCGTACCCCATCAGCACTTCGGACTGAAGTAAATATGGTCAAAGTAGAGAACAGGGGATTGAAAACTACTGTAAATATTCTGAAAGGTTCCACAGTGTTCAGTTGGATAAAGAAGGTACCGCAGACAAGAGCTATGGGAAGATGGCATCATTTCAGATACATTTCTCAGTTTCCTTTTTAAAAAATCTTTTATGTGGGGTGCCTGGGTGGCTCAGTTGGTTGAGCACCAACTTTTGATTTCGGCTCAGGTCATGATCTCACGTTGTGGGATTGAGCCCCGTGTCGGGCTCCCAATGCTCAGCGGGGAGTCTGCTTGAGTTCCTTTCCCTCTGCCTCTTGCACCCACATGCCAGAGCACACTCTCTCTCACACACACAAATCAATCAGTCCATCCAATCAGTCAGTTGTAAAAAAAATCCTTTATGTGCAGGGAATGATGGAGGTGGAGGTGGGCACAGGAGGTCAATGTCAAGTCGAGCTTAGGAAATGCCTTGCTGCTGTGTCCCTGCTATTAGATGTAGACTCCTGAACTTGTTTCTTTGTACACTTCTGAAGAAGTTACTTTTTGGTGAGACTTCTGAGGCAACAAACTGATAGAAAGTTCTTGACCTGATACCTGGAACGGGGTCAGCAGTCAGTAATCTCAGTGTCCTCTCTCCTTCATTTTCTTCCTCTTGCTGTTAGCAATTGTAAATTTTGCTTGTTTTCCAGTGGTGGCATCTTTTAATGCTTAATAATGCTAATGTAATGCTCATCTCAACCTCGAGTACTGCATTTTTCACGTTCTGCAGCTTGAGTTTGGAGGGATAGAGAGGCGGTGGGGTCAGGGAAGGTCAGGTGAACCCAGACCAGCTCTCCTCGCCCCCCACCCCGGAGTTAAAGCCACACATAGTTCTTATTTCTTCTGATTTCAATAGTAATCGAAGACAAAATAACTGAATAAGAAAGGAAAGTGACAGCAGCTATAATCAGCTGTTCAGTTGCATTGACAGGAAGAATAGTCCTCAAACTTCAAAGTATATAAGATGAATCTAGTTAACCTGTGGATTACTGAGCTCTACCCCAGAGGTTCTTTTTTTTTTTTTTTTTTTTAAGATTGATTTATTCATTAGAGAGGGGGTGTGGAGAGGGTAGAGGGTGAGAGGCAGTTCCAAGCAAACTTCCCACTGAGCGTGGAGCCCGATGCAGGGCTCAGTCTCAGGACCCTGAGATCACAACTTGAGCCGAAATCAAGAGTCAGACGCTCAACCAGCTGAGCCACCCAGGTGCCCCTACCCCAGAGATAAGTCAGTCTTAGGTCATTCTAATGCACGTGGTCCAAGGACTACATGCTGAAAACCCCTAATTTGGGACACCTGGGTGGCTCAGTTGAGTGGTTAACCGTCTGCCTTCGGCTCAGGTCACCACAAAATACAAGAAATAACCTTCCAGGGTCCCGGGATCGAGTCCCACATCAGGCTCCTTGCTCAGCGGGGAGCCTGCTTCTCCCTCTCCCTCTGCCTGCTGCTCTGCCTGCTTGTGCTCTCTCTCTCTCTGTCAAATAAGTAAAATATTTTTTGTAACAAAAAAAGAAAAAAGGAAAAAAGAAAACCCCTAATTCTAGAAAGATCAGTTTACACCATTGCTGTGTTATTCTTGGTTTTAATTTCTTGGTTGATCATTATTAGTGTAGCACAAAGATTACATTTCATTTGAGAATTTTCATTACTTCTTGGTAATTTTGAGCCTCCAAACCATGGCTCAGAATTCTTGACTTAAAAATAATGTGCACCAAGCCTATACCTTTGTATAACTCACAGGCGGTCATATAACACGAAAAACTTTGGCAGTGGTTTGAGATTCATTTGTACATTGCCAGTGTTGACATAATAATTCTTTCTTTCGTTGGCATTGCCTAGCGAAGGAGAGTCTCACTGTGGTTTGTTCTCCCCGTGGTTTCCGTAGCGTTAGAGAGAATGCTACTGAGAAACGAACCCTTTCTAGTTTTGACTCACTTAGGAGCTGTGTATCTGTAGTCTTTCTGAGATGGGATATAAGAGAGGCATGCCCAGGAGCGGGCAAATCAGACTTCCACACGCGCTGCCTTCTCGTAGCCAATAGCCAGCTCAGAATGTGGATATTACAAGGGGCAGTTTCATTCATCAAGGGGATTTTCAGGCTCCAGCAGCAAATGCTTTGCATTTTGAGAGATTGCTTGGCTTTGGGCTTAGCATTGACTCTGCTATAGAAACAAGTCGGTGCATCTGGCTCTTAGAAGAATTAATGGTGATTCAGGTAAGGATAAATTGGAGAAATCCTTCCTTTCTTTTCTTTGGGTGGATATGAGATTTTAGAAGAATTAGTCCTGTCTTTGAGAAGAGTTCAGAACTTGTCTTAAGTTTTTTCCCCCTCTGAATTGCTTTATAGTGTTATTCAGTATATCATCCTTTTAATATGAAATCTACCCTCTTCCAAAATGTAGTTTCATTTTCAGATATTAAAGTGAGGATTCCGTTTTTCTTTCTGTGCATGAAATTTTTTGAAAATGAAATAACTATAGTTGCTAAGATACTAATTACACATAGCTTCCTGGTTTAGAGCTGAAGTCTTATATTTTTAGGAAGTAGCTTTAAAAGTTGGGCAGGGGGAAATCGATGCTTGCATTTGATTTGTGAAACAGTGATGTTATATGTGTGTCAGACTTTTCCCTGTACTAAAGGCCAGATTTTGAGATGTACTCCTTAATCTGTTCTGACATGAGATTCCCTTCCCCCGCTACCCCTCCACCCCCCACCCCGCCTCGCCTCTCTCCATGTTTTCTGGTGGTGGGATCTGCTCAGCTTCTTTGCTCGGGCATGTGGTTTAGTCTGTGTACATTCAGTGCAGTGGCATTTTTCTTGAAAAAGTGACTAAGGCTTCTTGGATGAATTCTCTCTTTGAAAGAGGTGGTAGAATTGCATCAGAAAAGCATTTACAGTAAATGGCTCCCCCCCCTTCCTGTAATGACCACATGTGAAAGAATGCATTAATTCTTGTTTGAGGAAATGAGAGTTGTAGAGTTCTATGAAAAACTCCCTTTTTATTATTAATTAACCAGATTTGAATGTTAAAAATTCTAAAATCCGGATCACTTTGTGCTGTGTAAATAAATGGCAGAGATAGAGTTTGTCACTCCGTAGTCTATATGGAGTAAGCAATTATCTTGAATTCAGGAAGAGGAAATAATAATGACTATGGCTCCAGTTAATGGCATACGCCTAACCTAAATTAATTTTTTCAGTCATTTTCCATAGTAAATTAATATATTTCTAAAGTATACTGCTGATTTGTCCTTCAGGATTAGAGTCTTAGTGATGGAACGTAAAAGCTAGAAGCAGTCTCCCATAGCTCATCTAGCCAGGGATTCTCACGGGAACAGTACCGCCCCCTAGAGGACTTAGTAGGAATGAGATGGTGTTTCGTTCTACAATGAAGGCTTTTTTTTAAATGGGTGGAAGTCAGAGAATTAAGATGTTCCATGGTGGAAGAGACAGAAAGAATTGTCCTGCATCTCACATGACTTTCAGCTGCCATCTTGGATATAAAAATCAGCTCATAATTACTTGAGCCTAGACCTATCTCCGTTTAAATAAGAACACAAGGTAACTTTTGCATACTTTTAATATACACAAAATATAGTCCTTTTCATCCTGTTGTCCACCCACACTGCTCCTGTTTTGTTTTCCACTACTTTTAAGATGGAAGGCTTCTGATTTGGCTCCTCGTAATCCAAGCTTATTCCTTATAAGTAAGTTAAAAAGCATCTATTTCATTACACAGTTCATCAAACCTAAAAAGTTGTTTATGTATTGAATATGCAGTATTTTATTATAAATTGGATTTCTTTTACTTTCTCCTTTATATTACGTTTAGAGTATTATATTGATGTTTTAAAAATAATATGTGTATTTAAAAATTAATACCTATTATTAAAAATAATATGTATATTATTTTTAAATAATAAATAAATAAATAATAAAATAAATAGTTACTATTTACCAATGAATTTTATTTCAGAATAGTAAATAGGGCATTGCAGAATTTTTGGTTCTAAAAACAGGGCTTTGGGACTAGTAGGGTTTTGAACCAATATCCCGTTCCCTCTCTCTACTTTCAGGAAGGACAGTATGCCAGTCACCCAGATGGGAGAAGTGTTTATCTTCTCTGTGAAGTTCCGCAGAAAAAAATTGCACATGTTACCCGTGAATATGTTTTAGTATCTTGAAGTCTTCATATGAAGCTAGTTCTTCCTTAGTAATACTTTCCGGGAGTCTTCATTATGTCACTATAAAAACACGACCTTTGGTTTCCCTCTTTCTGTAGGAAAGGACAGACAGGTACTAAGAGAAGCCCGTGGGTCATCCTGCAGGCTAGCAGAGGAATGAAAAACAGACTCAGGTGTTCACAGTGGGTCTCGGTTCCCCTGTCTCCTTACCATGGACATGTTCCCCGTCTGCAGTGTGAACTTCTGACTGTGCTGTGAGTACAGCCCATCTTAGGTAAGGCGTTGTCAGTGTCGTAGAATTAAATCCTTGGAGTCCCGACTGTGAGGTTATGATACCCAGGCGCGTGCCCGTGGCGTTCACTCAGGCTTTGCGGGGCCGGAATTTTAATTCAATTGATCTTTCTCTTGGTTGGTTATTTCTTGTATTTTGTGATGGTGTTTTTCTTGTTATATGGATGTAATTATTGCTTCCTAAATTATTGCTTCTTAAATAGGGACACTAACAAAACTTGTTTTTTTTAGTTCTTTCTAAAGTACCTTCGCTGCCTGGAATTTTCTGTTTCTTCCAGGGTCCTTCTGTTGTTTATCGTAGTTTTCCACTTCCACGCCGCTTTAGCTGAGGTAACATGAAGGCTCACCGGGGCTCTGTGCGTGTGGGTGCACCTTGCCACAGGAGGCATGCCCTCGTGTGGGGGAGCCACCAAGTGTCTGGGTGCAGAGGGCTTGACTTCGGGGTTCTCAGAACCACACTAACTGTTTAGTCCTCACCGGATATTTTGTTTAGTTTCTTCAGAGAAGTCATTGGTGATTTTTTTAGTTTTTGCCTGGGGGCAAATTTTGTTGTTTCTGATAAAGACAGGAGTTAATGCATGGAAGGAACGATTGTTGATACTGGACTTTTCAGTTAATCTTTTCCTTTTCTGCCATTCTTGTCATTTCTGTCCCACACTGTATTTGCCTTTTCCGAGTCTAGAGCCTCTTTGGGGTTTCACTGGGGAAGTCAGTTATCCTTCCACTCAGCAGCAACACTCTCAGAGAAGTTTTGGGGCTATAAGATGCCTCTCCTCAGCTTTGCCAGTCAGTACTTCTGGTTTCCAGACATCTGTTGAACTCTCTCAGGCCCGATAGTGTTTTTATTGTTGTGGGAGTATATGCTTTTTTTTTTTTTTTAAGTAACAGCAGTGGGATCTTTCATGTGCCGTGACCACCACCATTTTGAAATGGCGTCTTAGTCAGTTTAGGTTACTGTAACAAAGTACCATGGAATGGGTGGCTTTACAGACAACAGAAATGTATTCCTCCCTTTATAGCTCTGGAGGCTGGTTCATAGAGAGCCTTGCTCTTGCTGTGTCCTCACATGTGGAAGGGTGGAGGGAGCTCTGGAGTCTCCTTCATGAGCACACTCACCCCATTCCTCAGGGCTCCGCCCCCCCGGCCTAATCACCTCCCAGAGGCCCCACCTCCTCATACCATCAGATCAGTATTTCAACTTACAGATTTGGGGGCAGACCCACATATCCGTCCCTAATAAATGGGAAGTTCTGGCATTTGTGGATTTATCAGAAGCATATCTGAAGAATTGTATCAGCCCGGGAAAAGCTGTGTTGGGGAGCACAAGAACTGCATGGGTATTGGGGTTTGGGGAGGCTAATCCTCTGAAGAACTTGGCCCAGAAGGAACAGTGAGCTGATGTTATTGTACAGATAATGCTTTCCCGCCATGGAAGCAATCACCATTAATCACGGAGCCCTCTCACGGTCTTCTAGCTTTGCTGCTAGAAGAAAAGATGCATCTTGTAAAATGTCCAACTTGGTCATTAAAAAAAATCTATACAAGTAGTGGTAGTTGTTTCTGATCTTAAGACAAGTATAAGTATGGGTATACTTACTTTTAAATTTCTTCTCTGCCCTTTGGCATTAGAGTTCCTGAGAGAATCTCCTGTTCCTTCATTTCTAGAACTCATATTCCTTAAGGGATGGATCCTCACACTCACTTCTCCCCTTTCTTATAAGAAGCATCTCCTATTCTTCCTTCTCATCCCCTTTGTGAAAAAAATTCCAAATTCTTACTGATTCCTTTCTTGTCCTTGTTGTGTAGTTCCTAAAAATGCATAGTAGATGTAGATGGGAAAAATTAGATGTTAGCTAATTAGTCTTTCAACTTCTCTGACACAAGGGGTATCCTTTCTTGTCTTAGAAGAAACTCTGAATTGAGTTTCCATTGTTACCATTCCATCATTTTACTTGGGAAAAAAAATAGCCATTTTCTTAGAAAAATCTCTGGAGATCTTCCCCATAGGTCCTCCATAGTTAGAAATCCCAGGAGAATCTTCTTAGGCCTGTCTGATCTGTGGCGTAGTACCAGGAGCCCCAAATCCATCTCTAGAATTTGCAGAGTAATAGAATTGGGTATTATTTTTTGTGTGTAGGGGCATAGAGGCAACTGAAGGTTGTAAATGTCCTTTGGTATCTAAATTCTGTATCCTTTAAGTTGTTTACCAGGTTAGAGCCTTTGGACAGTTGGGGATCCAAGAGGCATGCCCTCTGAGGCCATGCCCCTGGAAGCAGATACGGAGAATGCTGAAATGTCCTGAGCTCTCAGGCAGGCAGGACATGCTTATAATTTTATTTCTGGTATTGGGTAGAACAAGTATCATCAGCCTCTTCTAGGTACTTTTCTTCCCAAATTTACTTTCTTCCATCCATCCTCCATAACTTGCTGGTGGTGAGGGATGTGTTGAATGCAGGTTATCAGTTGTATACTGAAAAATAATGAGCCTAAAAAGAACATTCTGTGAGCTTTTAGAATGAGCTTTTAGAACAGTTTTACACTGGTTCTGGAATCTGGACTATTGATTGACTGACTATTACTGTTAGAGGAGAGGAAACCCAGCAAGTTCCTTCTTTTCCTTTGGAGACAGTATCTTATATAGGTGGTCAAAGAAATACGACAGCCATGATGGTTGTCAAACTGGTTGTCTATTACTGAACATAGTCCAGATAGAGTTTCCCTTTGGTGAGGCCAAGGGGTGCAAATCAAATGACATTCTTCAGGAGGTCTTGGGGATAAGAAGACATTTAAGAAGGCCTACCTGTGCCCCCCCGCCTTTTTTTTTTTTTTTTTTTTTTGAGTGAGAGAGGGAGTGGTGGTAGGACAGAGGAAGAAGGAGAGAGAGAGAGAGAGAGAGAGAATCTTAAGCAGGCTCCACACTGAGCATGGAGCCAAATGTTGGGGCTCAATTTCATGACCTCAAGATCATGACCTGAGCTGAAATCAGCAGATGGATGCTTAACCGACTGTACCACACAGGTGCCCCCAGCTATCCTTTTTAATAGATGAAAATTTGACATGTGAAACACACCAGTGTCAAATATACTCAAGTAACCAAACCACAGTTAACAAAAAGAACATTTTTTCTTTTCTACCATCTAGGTTCTCCCATGCGCCCCGCCCCCCTGCCCCCCAGGCACTCACCAACCCCATTGGCAAATGTTTTCTGATTTCTGTCGCTATAGAATTCTTTTTTCCTGCTCTTGACCATCATGTAGATGGGATCATAGAGCATGTATTCTTTCCCCTCCGGCCTCTCACCCCAGTTCTGTGTTGTGTATCACGTGTTCATTCTTCCTTTATTGCTGGGTGGCATTCTGTTTACATGAATAGACCCAATTTCCTCTTGACACTCCCATTTTCCTCTCGACAGAGTTTTGGGTTGCCTTCATCTTTTTTTGGCTATTATGGGTGTTAAGCTGCTGTGAGCACCTTCTCTCTCACTCACATCTCATTTGAGATTTAGGCTTAATTGCTGGGCCGTGCCAGACGTGTGTGTTTATCTTCATGAGAAACTTCTAAGCAGTTTTCCAAAGTAATTACACCATTTTATGCCCTAGCCAGCAGTGGATGAGCATTCCAGGTGCTCCAGTTCCTTCTCAGCTTTTGTGTATTGTTGGTTTTTCTGATTTTAGCCTTTCTTGGGAATATGAAGTGGTTTCACATTGTGATGTTTAATTTGTATTTCTTTGATGACTAATATGTTCTTATTGGGCATTTGTAGATCTTCGTTTTTGGAGCATCTGTTTCATATTTTACCCATTTTTAATTTTTGAGGGGGTCATTTTTATATTGCATTGTTTCTCTTACTGATTCCTAAGTAACATTTTATATATATAGAAAATCTGAAGATACTTGTATTACATAGGTATACATACCTCAGAAAATTGTGATGCACATATATTCTTCTAGTCTGTGATTTATTTTTCATTTTCTTAAAAAATGTCTTTTGATGAGCAGATTTTTTTTTTTAAAAGACCTCTATTTAAGAGAGAAAGCGAGCAGGGGGAGGGGCAGAGGCAGAGGGAGAGAAGCAGACTCCCTGCTGAGTGGGGAGCCCAATGCAGGGCTTAATCAGGACCCTGAGATCCTGACCTGAGCCAAAATCAAGAGTCAGATGCTTAACCGCTGAGCTACCCAGTGCTGCTGATGAGCAGATGATTTTAAATCTAAAGTCAATTAATCAAAGTAACCCTCTATATTATCAGTACTTACTGTGTTTGAAGTAATCTGCTTTCCCAAGGTTGTGAAGATATCCTTCTGTGTTTTCTTTTAGAGATCTTTTATTTTAAACTTTGTGCTTTGGTCTATGAACCATTACAAATTAATATTTGGGTATCAGGTAAGGTAGAGGTGAAAGGTGGTTTTTTTGGTTTTTGTTTTGTTTTTGTTTTTGTTTTTTTGCAAGTTTCCCCCATTGTTGCAGTGTGATTTGTCAAAAAGACTTTCCTTTCCTCATTGAATTGTTTTGGCACTTTTGTTGAAATTAGTTCCCCATATATGTTTTGGTCTATTTCGGAGGAAACTGAAGAATGTTTGTATAGACCACATGTGGCATGCACTTAAGTCTAGGAAATGAGTTCATATTGGTCAACTTTAATAAGCCTCAAGTGGCTGGCAGTCTTGGACTTCTATATAATGGAACACTTGTGTCAAAAGTCACTGACAGATGCTATATGGGGGACATTTTTTGCTTGCTAACCCAGCTGAGGCTTCCAGAAGTTCCAGCGTTCCCACATTAAGTATAATCTCTTATGTGCGAAGAAATAATACTATTAAATCT